GCTGGGCCCCAGAGGAGACACAGCAACAACGCGAGCGCTTGCAGAGACACGGAGACAACTGCTGCTGCTGCTGCTGCTGCTGCTGCTGCTGCTGTTGCTGCTGCTGCTGCTGTCGAGGTGTACAGACACCTCACGCACCTCCAGCTTTCGCACCATCTGCTGCGCATGCAACCCCGGGAATAGGTCTCCTAGTGAGGGGGCCTTGGGGTGTATACGCAGCTGCTGCAGCCCCTCAGATAGCCAGAGAGGAGCAGCAGCACCAGAAGGAAGAACAGCACGAGTTATAGATACCTCCAGTGTTGCTGCTTCTGCTGCTGCTGCTGCTGCTGCTGCTGTCTCCTCAGCTACAACAGCAGAAAACAAACGAGACACTGCTGATGCTGTCTTCTTCGTTATCATCAGACCCCCTAATACACAAAAAAAAAAAATAAAAAAAAATAAAAAAAAATAAAAAAAATAAAAAATATTAAATATATATACACAACAAAGGCAACAAATCATCAATACGCACCCAACAAACCAGCAGCAGCAGCAGCAACTGCTGCTGCTGCTGCTGCTGCAACAGCAGCAACAAAAATACACGAACACAAGTGCAAGCAGCCGCAAGAGATCTCCAGATGCAGAGCAGCAGCAGCAGCAGCAGCAGCAGCAGCAGGAACAACAGCGACAAAACGAGCAGCAACAGCAGCAGGAGCCCGAGCCGCATCCCCATCCCAACAGCAGCAGCAACACCAGCAGCAGCAGCAGCAGCAGCAGTGTTATATACCTGTAAGGTGGAGGTGATTGGGTCCCTTTTTCATGGAGATGTGGGGTGTATGCATGCGGCTGATGACAGCCCCACCAAAGGAGACACTTATTTCTGTCTCTCCGAGTGTAGCTGATGCTTCAGAGTTACTAACTACAGCAACTGTCATCTCCATCAATATACCTGCGTCTCCTCCTGCTGCTCCTGCTGCTGCTGCTGCTGCTGCTGCTGGTGCTGGTGCTGGTGCTGCTGGTGGTGGTGGTGGTAGTGCTGCTGCTGCTGCAGCAGATGATGTCCCTGTTGCTGTTGTCCCTGCTGTTGCTGCATTTGCTGCATCTGTCCCTGTCCCCGCTGCTGCTGCTGCTGCTGCTGCTG